ATGTAGCTAATGAGTTAGTTACGGAATGATGCATTACGTAACGAGTAAAGAGACTTGCCGGTAACGAAATTGAACTAGGTATTAGATACCGACGATCGAATCTCGGGCAAGTAACATACCGATGACAAAGGGAACAATGTATGTTGTTATGCGGTTTGACCGATAAAGATCTTCGTAGAATATGTAGGAACCAATATGGGTTATTGACCGAGAATAGTTCTAGGTCATGTCTACATAGTTCTCGAACCCGTAGGGTCCGCACGCTTAACGTTACGATGACAGTTTTATTATGAGTTTATAAGTTTTGATGTACCGAAGTTTGTTCGGAGTCCCGGATGTGATCAGGGACATGACGAGGAGTCTCGAAATGGTCGAGACATAAAGATTGATATATTGGACGACTATATTCGGACACCGGAAGTGTTTCGGACGTTTTCGGAGAAAACTGGAGTGCCGGAGGGTTACCGGAACCCCCCCGGGGAGAGATAATGGGCCACATGGGCCTTGGTGGAAAGAGAGAGGGGCGGCCAGGGTGGGCCGCGCGCCCCCTCTCCCTCTGGTCCGAATTGGACTAGGAGGGGGGGCGGCGCCCCCCCCCCCCTCTTTCCTTCCCCCTCTCCCCCTTCCTTTCCCCTCCTAGTAGGAGTAGGAAAGGGGGGGTCCTACTCCTACTAGGAGGAGGAGGACTCCTGCTTGGCGCACCCACAAGGGCCGGCCGGCCTCCCCCCTTGCTCCTTTATATACGGGGGCAAGGGGGCACCCCAGGACACACAAGTTGGTCTACGGATCGTTCCTTAGCCGTGTGCGGTGCCCCCCTCCACCATATTCCACCTCGGTCATATCGTCGCGGAGTTTAGGCGAAGCCCTGCGCCGGTAGAACATCATCATCGTCACCACGCCATCGTGCTGACGGGACTCATCCCCGAAGCTTTGCTGGATCGGAGCCCGGGGATTGTCATCGAGCTGAACATGTGCTGAACTCAGAGGTGCCGTACGTTCGGTGCTTGGATCGGTCGGATCGTGAAGACGTACGACTACATCAACCGCGTTGTCATAACGCTTCCGCTTACGGTCTACGAGGGTACGTGGACAACACTCTCCCCTCCCGTTGCTATGTCATCACCATGATCTTGCGTGTACGTAGGAAATTTTTTGAAATTACTACGTTCCCCAACATTTATATGTTATTGACTTGTAATGCTAAATTTGTTGAGAATTTTGATGTACCGTTGCACATGTTACTCGAATGCTGGTAGTTATGTACATATACTCACTATATTATCCGTTGTTTACTTGAAATGCATTCTTGGGCTGAAAGTGGCTGAAAAACTATATGTTGTATTGAATTTGTGTTGATTGTGTATGTCTATTCTACAAAAGAAGAGGCACGGTTCAAATGGAAGAAGTACTGAAATGGCTACTGGACCTAATCTATTTGGGCTTTTGAAAAGAGGCCCGAAACATACTGGCAGCAATTAAGGCTGAAAATTAAATAGAAATGCGTAAAAAAGGCCGAGGCCCAAAAAAGAAACAGATAGTAAAAGGCCATGGCCTAGAAAAAAATGCTAAAATGTTGGGCTTGGCCCATGAAGCCGATCAAAAATTGATAGAAAAAATATATTAAAAAGGCTGAATTAATGGGCTCGGCCCATCTAAAACACCTAATCGGACCGGGCTGAATCTTGTCAGTGACCTTATGAATTGGTCACAATTTTGCCACGCCGAATCCGACGTGGCCTAGGCAATCAGCTAGTGACCAAAACAAAAGGTCATGGGTTCAACGACCTTCTGTTTTGGTCGTAAACGTCTACGACCTTCTCACAGAGAAGGTCGCTATAATCAATTAACGACCCCCAGCTTTTGACCTTATGTTTTTGGTCACAAAAAGGTCACAAATTGAAAACTATGACCTTTCAGTGACCAATAGTGGAGGTCACTAGTTGACATATTTCTTGTAGTGCCTACCTCTAACCCTAACCCTAGAATCTGTACAAATGAGGTAAACTTACTAGACGCCGCCGAATGACGAGCCCCACTGGTGGCTTTGCGTCGGATCCGCCTTCACGGCCCTGGCCCAAGATCTAGCCGCCGCGAACTCGAGCGAGTGCCAGGGGCTGGGGTTGGGGCTGCTCTCCGAAGGGGCGCCGGGGTTTGAGCTGCCGCATAGATCCACCTCCGGTGGTCTGTCGTCTCCGCCACCGGCAGGCCCACCGCAGTTGCCGCCGCCACTCGTCGTCGTCATGTCTGAGGAGAGAGGGGGTGCGGGGAAGGGAAAGAGATGGATAAGAGCTAGCGGGGATGGACCGGTCAAATGGGTTCCGGCTCGAGACGGCCCGCGCACGGCGTCTGATGGCGTCTACCGAGCCAAACGGATGAACAGTCACGCCACGTTGACAAAAGCGGGACCCACCTGTCATAATCCCACTTAAAACGATCGAACAGAGCGACTTGTGGTTTCTGCAAAAAATCAGCCTGGGAATTAGTGTTTTTGGGCACAAAACTAGAGACTTGTCATTTCTGCAACTCTAGCCTTCAATGTCGATGTTTTTTGCAATTCACTCATATTCATGTGAACCAAGGGGCTTTGCGGGAGTTCGGACCTCTGCCACGTGGGACTCCGACACCCCCGTCCCATTCAAAACCGAGGTGGAGCCTGCGCATTTGGAGAGGTGTCGTATGGACACGAACAAAAAATTGCCGGAGCCGACAAAGGAGGGGGTCCGGAGAAGGTGTCCACCCGGAAGATCAACTCGGCGACACAACAAGCCCGCCTCCTCAAAGCAAAGGCAAAGGACGGGGCGGCCGGCAAAAACAAGTGCGGCGGCGGGGCCTAGAACGCAGGGCACTGCCACCGTCTATGCAGACGCCGCCCTAGCCGAAGCAATATCATTCCCCTACTTCTACACCGCCAGGCAGCTCGGACGACAGTCCCCGGCCTCCTACGCCGCCGGATACGTGTTGTATTGCGTCGACGTCAACGCGTCGCCGCTCCATTTGGCCGACTCGGCATCACCACAACTTGTCCGGTCGTGGACATTACGGTTGGATCAGTTCGGTGCCCGCTCTTTTTTTGCTTCCATGTCTCAACTAGGCGAGTTGGCGTATGACAACGCAGGCGCGCAGTTGTTTGAAATGATCCACGACGGAGGCTGCTTCGAGGACGGACAAATGGATGACCTGCAGCCGAAGGTCCATGCCCAGTAGCGGGGCACACACACCCAACGGCCAGAATCATACACAGGGAGCAGAAGGGCACAGCATTTTTGCCCGATGTTCATTCATGGTTCCATGAGCACAATAATTTCAAGCCCTATTGTAACGAACTCATCCGTAATCAATCATGGGACAGAGTTTCTCAACCACCAACCACCGAGGGTTTACCACATCCAGGAGGCCGTGAACAAGTATTGCGATTTATAGTTAGGGGGAGAACGAAGAAATTCGCAGCAGCAGCTGGGCATCATCGTGGTGTCGTGTCGTGCCGCCCCCGCGTGCGTGCGCTGTTTCCTTAAACCAATACACCAGGCAAGGCAGCGCGACAGATTCTCCTCGGCTGGCCACGGCCGGGCCGCCGGTTCCCGTCAGCTGTCACCCCTGCGGAGCAGGGCGCCGTACTGTCGACGACGGCGACCCCAACGGCGGCGACAGCGGATAACACGCCTCCGCTCCACTTGCGTGCGCGTTTCAACTCTCCGTCCGTCCAGTCATCTCAGATCTCACCTCCTTCACGTGAAAAAGAAAGGAAAAATCGAGATCCGGCGGTGGGGCCGGCCGGAGATCCGAGCGCGACGGAGGAATCCTCAGCCGATCGGCGTGGGGATGCGATGCCCCGGATCGCCGGAGAAAAGATCGGGCGGTGCTGGTGCGTGCGTGTCACCGCGCATTTCCCCCATCCGTCGTCCGAATGGAGATGGATGCGTGCGTGTGTGCAACCATGATGCACGCCGCCGCTTTCAGCCACCACGTGTGCCGCCGACGGCGACCGGAGATAGATCCCCACCGAGGTGAGGTTCGTACTAGAGGCGACGATGCACGGCGCCCCTTGGGAGTATGGAAGGATGGATAGACTGATGGAGTGATGGATACCTGGGGACTGGACTGGATTGGGAGCACCATCGGTTAATTCATTAAGGCATGAAGAAATGGATGCGAGCGTGATGGATAGATAGACAGATGGACGGAGGGGCATCACACCCATCTTTCCTTTTTCCCCCAGTTTCAAAAGAGAAATCCCCAATTCGATTGCCAAAGTCTTTGCAATGCAATGGAATGCAATTGGTGGGTCGGATGTGACCCGGAGGCCTCACATGGTGGGGTGCCGCTCTGGACTGGTCCAGCGCTACGCGTGCAAAGCCGGGCCAAAGCCTCAAAAGGGAGGGAATGATGGGGTGGATGCCTACATACATTCCTCTTCCCCCTACCAAAGGTAGCCTCTGTCCATCCATCTTTGGGCCTGTCCACCCCACCCATGGAAGGACCATGCCAGTTCTGATCGGCAAATGCCAGTAACAGCAAATGGTGGCAACTCCAGGGTGCTACCCATCTGGAAGTGAAGATCAATGCACTCTACTAACTGAATTCTGGTGTCTTGCCATTGATGCATGTGGAACAAAAATGCAATGTCGATGCAGAATATTAACAAGATAGGCAAATGCGACGACGACGAGTCGACGACGCTCTGCGACAAGAGAATTGATGACTAGAGAGCCTACATTCACAGGATTAGTATGTAGGAGTATTCCACAGAAGAGAGTTTTGGCAGGCTTACCAAAAGGGGGGGTTTACGGATCACGGTACAGGTTCCTACTACTTCTTAACATGAGATCACATGGCATGATTATTAGACGGTAGTACATGACTTAAAAGAGCTAGTAGGAATGGTCTATGTGCTTGCTTTCCAGTTCCGGGTCTCGAAAACTAGGGAGAGAGAAAAAAAGGCTGCAGAAACATACGCGGCGAGCTAGCTTAAGCCGAGGCCTTCGCCTCAGAACGCCCTCTCTTCAGAACTCTACTTCGACCGAGCCGACCGACGCGATCCCGGTGCTCAGGCTCCTCGACTCCTGCCTGCTCGCGTAGTCGTCGCAGCTGCTACCGCCGCCGCCGCCGCCTAGCCTCTTCCCGGAGGCCGAGCTCAGGAGCTCCAGGCCCTGCTTGCCCATCTGCTGCACCTCCTGCGGGGACAGGATCTTTATGCAGGACACGCTGTTCACGAATTCCCTGCAAAGTTGGAAGGTGCGGCACTGCTGTTAAAGAACAGCGTGGAAAATGAAGTAACACAGATCATCGTCGGGGCGGTCAAGGAACTTACTGCCAAGGGTCGTCGCCGACCAGAAGGACGTCCTCCTCCCGGTCGACGAATACAAGCTGCCAGCCTGATCTCATAGGGTCTTCCAACTGGCCCTCAAGGCCGAATAGGCGCCCCAGTTCCCTACGTAGTTCATGGTAGTTGCTAAACTTGGTGATATCAAGCGACCTTCCGTAGGTTCCAGATTTGTAAACCTGTTTGATGTTCACATGGAAGAAAAAATCACAAATCAGTTGTGGCATTGGAACAAGCTACCAAACATCCGAGCATCTTTTTTCTTGCGTCTAGTTCTAGTGTGCGGTCAATGCTCCAAAAGTTGAGTAAAAATAAGCATCAGATGTGTTTCTACCAATTTTAAGGCATGTCTTTCTATATATTGATAGTCACGAAATGGGCAAAACAGACAGCAGCTATATATTGTTAAAGAAGCAACATAGTTTCAGGGAAATAAGCAAGATAGTTTTAAGGAAGTAACATGATTGCTTGTCATATAGAGAAAGCCACTCACCTTCACAAAGGTTGCAGGTGGTTGATTCACTTGATCAGGAGTGTGTGAACATGGCACATATCCCGACTCATCCAAGCATCCTGAACTATTTAGTGTCTGATCCAAGGAGAAATCATGTTGAGAAGGACTCAGAAAATTGGAAGTGGAATAGGGCATTGCCGTCGAATCATTCTCGTCGTGAAGACCTCCTTGCATCAGAAGTGAGTGTGAGTCTATATTAACGCCGAACAAAAGATGATTCTGAGGATCAGAGCTCCCATCTTGATCCACCAAGCAACCTCTTCCAGGAAGTGGCGCCAATGCAGAGCTTTGAGGTATGCTAGGTGGTGTTGAGGATAGCTGTTCCATATGCGTGGTGGACTGAGGCCGAGAAGGAATCAGAGACTCCACTGCAACTCGCTTTGACGACCATGAGTCAGGGACAGGTACCGCAGTAGGCCTTGACATACTCAGGTGTGAAGCTGTTTCTGATGAGAATGGCCCCAAGGTATTATGCATGGCGGGGGCACCGGATGGGGACAATGAGCTCATATTCGTGTCCGGAAAGCTCTGAGACTGCGAAAACGGTAAGGCCGTTTGCAGTGCTGTAGGTGAAGACTGAGGACCTGGGGAGAGTTGAGAATATGCTGACTGGTAGTTCGCCATATTCTTCTGTTGTTGCATATGCTGATGTTGAGGGACTTGCATACCCTGTGATTGCTGCTGATTTGATTCTTGCTGTTGGAGAAGCTGTGGCTTCTGCTCATTGAAGGACTGGCACCGTTGGAGCTGCTGTTGAAGGAACTCAGACTGAGCCTGGCCCTGGATCGTGGCCCCATTGATGTTTTGAAGGTATGACTGCTGCTGAAACTGAGGTTGCATTTGCTGTAAAATCTGACTTTGCAGAAGCGGCGTAGCTCTACCAACCATGTTTTGTGGCTGCTGGAACTGCAACATCGTGGGTGACATCTTTGTTGGGTCCTGGAACGCAGCCGCAGCCATCGTTTGGTAAATATCAGGCTGTAGACCAAGTAACGATGCATCCAGCCTTGGCTGCATCCAGGGATTCATACCAGCACCACCGAAATTCAGCGACTGGAAACCAGGGTTTGCACTATCTCGAAGCCACATGAGCGAGGAAGTCAAGTCATCATCCTTACCACCTACAGAAAGAGATAGATAATTTATAACACTCCATACTGAAAGCATACTACACAATTATTCAAGCATAGCTATTTATGAATGCTAGTTAAAGACCAGCTGTCCATCATACCATGCAGAGAAGGCAAGCCTGTTGGCCATGGTCGCTTCAGTCTGAGTGGAAAAGGAGTAGGGTACATCGGGAAAGTTGTCAGGGGTTCAATCTCCCAAAGTGACACCCTTGGCTGCCTCTCTCCAGCAGTTGATTCATCCCAGCCAACCTGCATTTTTCACAGACAAAGTTCTCTGTCATGCTAAACTGTGAAGTTATGCCAAGCAATCTCAATAGGAATTTGCATCTCATCAAACAATACATGGGTAAACAACAGGCGATGTTCATGTACAGACTTGACTGGATACAATAATTAGTGTTAGCCCGTAAATATACCTTCACAGACCGCCAATGTGAGTTTGGCCAACGGACAGCATCAAGATCACTAATTCCTGTAATTGTCCCCATGTATCTGAACAATAAGAATTGGTCTGGTTAGACAATTAAACATTTTTGGATAAGACTGCTAATAGTTAATACAGTAGCATTTATTGCTGCAACATGTTTTTAGAGTAAAGATGAAAAGCACATCAAAATTTAATTTAGCATACCTCCGAACACTTGATTCTTCTGTCTCAAAAAGCATCCTGAAACGCATCCCCACCGATATACGGGTATGATACACGGCTTTTACATACTTGGCAAGTGGTATAACAAACTCACAAGGGCTAGCTCTGCAGAAACAGAGGGTTTAACTTAAAGCATTCAGAAGGAAAAACACTGAACAAACGAAAGCGTACACTTTTTTTACCTTGGGTTATAAAAGATTGTAAACCGGCTATTTGTTGAGGCAGCATGAGCAGCTGCAGCAAGAAGACCAATGTGCATGCTATCACTTGATAGGACGGAAGATGGCATGACAGTTTGTGGCCGAGTTGCCCGGCGAATTCCCAGAAGAAGCTGATTGTTGTCATTCCTGAAAATTCAAGGAGATGCGCAAATTTGACCAGTGAGAATCTGCGTGCACATACCAGAATTTGAATAGACGTCGAGGAGAGAGGGGTGCCAGTTATATCATCTCGAGTGTTGGAAGAATGAACATACCAGATAAATAGGACAGAGTCCCCAGCAACGAGTCTCTTTGCACTTACAAAGACACTCCAGCCTGTTGTGAGAAGATGCCGCTTTGGCTGACCTGCAAAACTAGAGCTTATGAGTGAAGTTCTTCGTTGTCTTAAAATAAACCTTCACCCGGGGAAAATAGAAACAGATGGAATCATGCTTGACATTGTTCCCTGACACATTTTTTCAGAAGACATCAGAGACTGAGAACACTCACCGCGAAAGATGTGACGGAATTTCCACTCATTGCCATGAAGATCTTTTGCAAACAACTCCTGTGCTGGAGGCTGCATGGTGAAATCCTACAAAAAGTTACAGGCAAGTTAGAAGAAGAGTTGATGGTCTGGTTCACTCCAAGAAACCAAGTAAACTCAAAATTCATGCTGGAAAGTGTAGAGGAGCAGCACAGACCAGCGGAGGAAACACTTTCTCAGCTGCTCGCCGGGGAACAGAGAAGCCGCCATGCGTGCTTGTGTCACTCGCAGTTAATGTTTTGCAAAAATAATTCGTTGGCTGTTTGTTTGCAGTACCTAATTCAGCAGGTAGATACGGATCTTTGAGCTCTTGCTGAAAAGAGAAGCAAGCTAAAGTTACTCTCTTGGATACTGAGTTAAAAAAAACTTGCACATAGGACATGGTAAATATGAATTTTTTTTCACACACAAAAAGAGTGATATGAATTACCGGGTTAAGTGGTTGCAAGGTCATCTGCGCATAGACCTCGTCCGTCTCCGCATCAGCCTGAAGGTAATAATAAAGCCAATGATCAAACAAAAAGATACTGGCAGTGATATTACTTAGCTGGTAAAAATATGTGCTCCAAATCTCCACACTTACATGCATGGTCACATTGTGCAGCTGGCAGATAAGCTGTGGAGGCAAATTGGGGTAGTTGGGGATCTGAGACTCGATCTCTTTATTCGTCGATGCGGCTACCTGAGACAGAAATTCACCCAGTAAATAATCTACATAGACAAAGAAAGCAAACGATTTCTGAGATAATTAAGCCAGATTTTTTTCTGTTCGGCGACGGAGGTTAGGATTCAGGATCATGCAAAGTTCCTTGCACTGGAGGTGGAATTCTGCACCAACCTGCTCGCTGTGACCCTGTGGGAAGTACACCACCCTGCTGCCGACCGCGGGCAAGGAGACGAGCGGGCCGGCGCAGGCGTGCCATAGCTCCGAATTCAGGCACTTGTGCTCCTCAGCAGCTGTAATGACATAATCATATGAGCAAAAGACTTGTCAGTGCTGATCTTTTAACAGATAATGATGGCTCTAGGGGCTGTAACAGCTCTGAATTCATATGCTGGCCTTAAAGATTATTCAAGAGGGTGGGCATGCAACGAAATGAACTTCTAATTAGTGGCCTAAGGTTATTAATTTCTTCTTCATCTTACATGAAAATCAGCAATTTTTCAGACGAAAATACACATATTTATTCCAGTAAAAAAATAACTAATTAACACGCAGAGCAGGAAATTGGATGGGAAATAGGCGAGATTGCAGAACTGAAATCCCATTCCAAAAAATTAGTACTGAACTGCAATTTCGCAGGCATAAAAGTACCCCCAAAACACACAAGAAGCATTTTCATGTAATCAATTGCAACAACCCCTAACAAATCCAAATATTACTCCAGACTCGAATTCGACGCATTGGGCTACGACGGCCTGATCACACGGTCATAATCAATCCGAGGAGAGAGCCTCCGAGGAAAAATCACAAGCACAAACGAGAGCCAAGTAGTACTGCTAGTCCCACAAACTCCAAATCACACGGACAGCGAATAAATGAAGAGCGAGGGCAGCAGCAGTAATGGGCGGCAGCCCACGGACGGGGCAGGAGACAGAAGAATACCGTACCTTCCGGCGACGCCGGCGCCTGGGCCGGGAGGACGGCGCCCGCCGGCGACGAGAGCCTCATTTTTTGTTGAGATGAAAAAGGCCAATCAGAGACCGATCTGATGGAGGTGGGCAGCAATAAAAGAGCGTGCGCGGAGGCGGGGAAGGAAGGGGAGAGCGGAGGAAAGATTCCTCCTTTTCAGGCCAAATCGCAGCGCCTTCCCTAATAAACCCGTCGCTTTCCCGGCTCCTCCTGCTCCTCCTCGCCAACTCACTCGCCAGGGAACGGAATGGAATGGAATGGAAGGGAGCCGAGCCCCTTTTGCCGTGCGCAGTCACGCTTCCTTCCTCCCCGGGCAATCACCGCGGGAGTTCCGCCCAAGTTGCCGCCTCCGAGGGCAGCAGAAGCCGGCCGGGAGCCGCGATCCCCGGGCGCCGGAATGCGCAGGGGCCGCCGCCGTCACGGCCGCCGGAGCCGGGAAACGGTCGATCCGAGGAGCCGCCCCGTCGGATCTCGCGCCCGCGAGCTCCCGACGGCTCAGCGCCGCGCCCCCCGGCAGATCCGAGCGCCGCCGCCGGAGACGGGCATGCTCGCTGCTCCGCCGCCGCCTCCTTTCCTGCTTGCTTCAGAGCTCAGGAGCTGCGGTTACAGCTGGTTGCTTGCTTGCCTCGGTCCGGCTTTGCTTTTCTTGGGCTCGGCTTGCTTGCTTCTTCCTCCTCTGGCTGCTTGCTTGTTCTGGCTCTGGCCGCTGCCGCCGCTGGACCTGTTCTTGGGGTTTTAACCCCACGAGTGGTGCTGGCCGCTTTCCTCAGCCCCCCTCTCTCTCTCCCTGGTAGTAAAATCGTGTACTGTACGTACGCCCTTTCGTTCGTTTTACTAAGCGACTTGGGAAGTAGAGTAGTAGCAGAAGTATACTTGTACAGTTGTGCAGGAGCAGGTATTTTTATAGCAGTGTTGATGAGGCGTGTGCTCATGCTCCCCGGAATATGTGTGGCATGTGCAGTGAGGAGTGAGCGTTGCATGGACGATGTGCCTGTGTGAGTGATGTGAACGTTTTCTCCCTAGTGGAGTGCGGCTACTCAATTAATGGTGGTGTGTGTATAGTAGCTTTTCTTGCTTGCTGGAAGCACAGGGATTAATGGTGGTGTTTGTATTTGATGAAAAAGCAGCTTTGCTGTTTTCAGTTACTACATGGAATTTTTGTCCCTCTTTTTATAAAAAAAAATCGACCAGGTTGCGCCGCGTGAATCCCGAAAATGGACGAAATGAGTTTCGCTTCGGTACACCCCCTAAGAGTTTGGACGGATCTTAAAGATACTTAAAAAGGGTATTCTCGTACATTCACGGCCAACTAATTATATTCCTTTCCCGGTGCATCAAACAATAGATCAGAACAATCTAAACCTCCTTGTTAAAGCGGTAAGTTTTAAT